AGGCTGCTCGCCCCTGGCTGCGGAGGGAGTGTGCGCGCCTCTGTGCCCCTCTTCTCCGCACGTCTCCCCGTCTCTGAGTGGGTTCACCGGCCCTTCCTTCCCCCCTCCCCCCCGGCGCCTCGGCTTGTTACATTCTGCTGCCACGCTGCTGGAGCCGCTGCCGACGCGTTTGTGTGTGCTGTAGCGCCGGCAGCGCGCGCCCCGACACCGCACCTACCCCCCCGCCCATCCCCACTGTTGCTGCCTTCCCACTTGCCCCGTGCTCCTCCTGCCCTGCTGAAGCCCTCCGGCGCCGGATCACTGCCTTCCCTGCCTCGCTTGCATTTCATTCCTTCACTCGCAATTGCGACCCGCTCTGGTGGCGGCCTTGGCGGGCAAGCCCTTGTGGCCAGCCCGCTAAGAGGCACCTCGGCCCCTACGATATTTGTCACAACCTGCCACCAGAGGAGAGTGGGGGAAGGCTGGTGTAGTGGGGCTCAAAATGTCGGCCACCCGTCCGCCCGCTGGCGCCGGCCATTGGCAGCTCACATCGCAGGAGCTCCCTGATCGGCCCCACAATGTTCTCCATCCGTTGTATAACCTGAGTACCTGCCAAGTTCGCTCACAGACAGCCTGGGAGAGCAGTGCCCAGCATCAAACTCAACAGGATCGCTCTTCTTGCCTCCAACCAGCAGCGGTATGCAGGCGGCACGGCCGCCGCAACGCCTCAGGTCTGGGCGGGGCAGCAGGCGGCAGTCGCCGGTGGCAGCCGTGCCCGAGGCTGCGGCGGTGGACGTGCTGCCGCCGCAGTGCCGCATCTGCTGGCTTGAAGCAGGTGGGCTCAATTGCCTGGCTTTGGTACTATTCTGCCAGGCACGCAGCGTATCAAATCTTATCGGATGCGCAACGGCATGCCTCACCCACTCGTGAACCGCCTGGCTGCTGTGTGCAGATGTGGAGGAGGGCGGCGCGCTGCTGGCGCCCTGCCGCTGCTCCGGCAGCTCCCGCTGCGTGCACCAGCGCTGCCTGGCGGCCTGGATGGGCGCGGTGGCCGAGCGCAAGGGGGTGCACGCCGCGCGGCACTGCGACATCTGCCGCGCACGATACGCAGGGTGAGCCGGGTAGCGGCTGGGCGCCGGCTGCGCCGCGGGCGGCCGGCAAACACAACTGGAAGCGCCACAGACGTCGCCCGGCACACCTGCCTGCCTGTCAGCCAGCCAGACGGCCAGCGCCAGCCAGCCAGCGCCATCCAGCACCTGCCAGCCAGCCAGCCAGCCAGCCAGCGCCTGCCTGCCTGCTGCCCCATCATCCCCGCCGAGGCCAGCCTCCCGCGCCCCCTTCCTGCCTCCCTCCCTCCCTCCCCCAGCCTGCCCCGCGAGCTGCACCTGCGCGAGCCGCCGGTCGCCTACCTGCGGCGCAAGGCGCTGGCGGCGATGGCCACGCCCGCGGGCACCGCAGCATCCTACTACGCCGCAGCCGGCATGGCTTTCTCCACAGCCTGGGCCGTGCGGGGCGCGCTGCTCAGGTGTGTGGCGTGTCGCCCCGTCTGCCTGCCCCAGCCTGCCTGCCTTCCTGCCTGCCGTCTGTTTGCTGCTGGGGAGCAGGCGGCGGCCAGCACGCGGCTCCCGATACGCGCAGCCGCCCGCGCGCGTTCCAGCCGCCCATCGCCCCCCGCCTGCTGCCCG